TCCCCCCCCCCCCATCTCATTGGGTAGCCAACCTTGCTTGATCTTGGAAGATCAGCCAGAATTGGCCATCTGGCAATACCTCAGCTGTTGATTAAACAGAGAAATCAAAAAATATTCTGGAAGAAAGCAATAGCAAACCATTTCCCTAACAGTGTCAAGAAAATTATGTGGATGTAGTCACTTGGGTTAACTTAATCGGGGAGCATGTTTATCTTATCTTTTGAGAAAAAAGCTTTTTCATCATGCTTCTTTGTGACTATCCTAAACATAAGATTTTATAGCATAATTCCGAAGTATCTTACGTTAGGCCTATCAGATCTGGGCTCTGGGCTACAAACATCAAGGGCAGCATGGAGAACTCTGGTCTTAAAAATGGGAACCAAAATGGAGATCCAGTCCTCAACCATGGATCTCCCCCCATCCCTTTAATCCTTTCTCTATACCAGTGTTTCTCAATCTCAGCAACTTTAAGAGGTATGTATGGCCTCCACTCCCAGAATTCCCCAGCCAGCATTCTGGGAGTTGAAGTCCACACATCTTAGAGCTGCTGAGGTTGAGAAGCACTGATCTATACGGTACCAAGCAGAATGCCATAGGAAGCAATCATAAACTGTTAGGCTATTAGGGCTGCAAAAATGCAGACTGCTCAACACAGCAGAAAGATGGAGGAAACTCTACTCTTTGCTGCCATTTAGTAGTCGTTCGGATTTCTGCAGTCCCAGGTCTACACACTGTATTACCGTGCTATATAAACCCAGTCAACTGTGCTTTGTTCAGTTAGTAATCATTACACAAACCGTGCCTTAACATGATGTATGAAGCCAGTCTCTGCTAACATCTCCAACAAGGGTCTTTCCCAGTCCTAAAAGCGCTGGCTTGCAGCTCGCGGAGCGAGATCTCTATCCCTGCACAAGAACGAAAGGGCGAACAGTGAATTGTTACCGCTGTTCTCTCTGGGCCAATATGCTTCGTTGTTGTGTTTTTAAAGGTTTTAAATTGTATATTTGTAAGCCGCTCAGAGTCTTTGGAGTGGGCGACTGTAACAAATCTAAACAAGAACAATAATGGATGTGACAGAGAAATCGAGATAGGAAGCAGGCGCACTGGTGCTTCGTTCCGCCGCTCCCCGCAAGGAGAGGCAGGCGCCGCGAGAACAACCTCCCCAACCCCCGCCCTCCACCCCGTCCACCCCCTCTCCCCCCGGGGTCGGGGGGGTTTCTGCGTGT